CTTCATCTCCATCTCCATAATCCCTAAAACTCCAACCGCATGCGAATCGGAATTCAACGATGTCACAAATCCCTTCGACTACATTGCAGATCTCTCTGCCATTGTGATCTCTTGAAGTCTACCGCCGTATGCATCGGTTTTGGAGCATATTGCCCAAAGAAGAGCAATCTCCGAAGATGACAAACGCCGTGAAGCCGTGAAGGAGGTCGGTTGACTGTTCCATGGAAGAGTCGTTTGACCGTGGAAGGAAACATAAAATTACAGGAGGTGAGCCACTAACTACGAATCACCAAGGCAATATAAAAACAAGAGTCGAGCTTACTAGGTATCAAGCGACGGAGAATGTTATAACGATTAAACTTATGACAATTTCCTATAAACTAGAGGGAGTTGGATTATAAAGCCTGGATCTATTTTTAGTCATGAACAATTGTATGTGACATTATCGAGAGTTCAGAGCAAACATAGATGAAAATTTTAATACATGATAAGGATGAAAAATCATTACACACTACTACGAATGTTGTATTCAAAGAGATATTTTCCAAAAATCTCTAACACGTAAGTTAAAAATTTTACTTAAATATTTATTTTATCAATTTACATTTTATGATATTGAATTATTGTGTTCGCTTTTAAGAACAATGCCATTTTTTTAATATTACTTCCTTTTGTAATTAATTAGATCATGATTAGAGATATATTCATCGATTCTTTCCCGTTCGTATGCACGGGTACTGTACTAGTTTTCAGTAAAGAGGATGTATACACAGCGTACAAATAATACGCTTGGTATTTTCAAAAAAAACCAATACGCTTAATACAGCTAGGAGACCAATATCATTGATACATTAAGTGCCTAATTGAAAATTAGAGTCTAATATGACTCTAATTTGGAGATACATTTTAGGACATTAATTTGAAATACATTTAGGACCCATATGGTAACATTGAAATGGACTGATTACATTGAATCTGTTGAAATTTATGAAATGCAGTTATGCAGGCTAGAGTAAATCAATCTGCTGAATTATGAGAATATTACATTGGAATTATGTGGAGTATTTTATTAATAAAATTAAGAAAAATCACATAAAAATAGCTAAACATCTATTATTCGGCAAAATCAGTCATTTCATTTAGAAAAGTGACATCAAGTTTTACTTATTTTAATTTTATTATTATACAATTCAGTGCGTGAATGAAAAAACAGGACATGTTTAGTAAAAAGAAAGATTATAAGCTGAAAATTGGAATTATCAAATGGGCTCTTAGGATGTTTTTACCAAATTCCAGACCAAGTGAAAACATTCTTAGTATCGTCTCGGTAGGAAATAAATGCAATCGATATAGTAAAGTTAGAACGGCTTCCAAATTAAAATTTCACAATAAAACAACTATTCATACATTTTGAAGGGAAATTTACAAAGTCTTTAAATTTCAATTCAAGAAAATTTGTGTCTAATTAACAGAGGTATCAATGTATCATATCACTATTTTTCATATAATATTCATGTTTGTTATTAAAGTTTTTAATGTTTCAATAGCCAAAGGTAAATTAGGGGGAAAGTCAAAATTGACTTTTTGATCACTCATAGAAATATTTATTATGCGGTCCGTTAACGCATGATTGTACTACCCCTCCCCATTTTCCTATAATTACGAGTCTTCCCTCGAAATGTAAGAGACTCTCTTCTTCTCCAAGACCTCCCTTCTCTCTAGATTAGCCTTGAATTCCATTAATGTGAGCCTTTGTACAATGTACACGGTATGAAGAGACTAATAAAAAGAGAGTAGTTTGAACATTTGTCTAAAAAACTGGTGGTTTTCACCCTTTTGATTTCCACATTAGAATCGAGTTCTAATATATTTATTTATACTATTTCATGTTGGATTAGTTTCAACAGTTATTAACCCCACTTCATTAACGTTTGAAATTAAAATATTTACTTTACTAAATATAGTTGCTAAATTAAATAATTTATCCACATAATTATTTAAATAAATTGCCTAATAAAATATTCTATAATAAAGTTAAAACTCCTATTCCTATTTACGGAGTATTTTTTATACGTATAAATAAAATCACGCAAAAGTTACCTAACTTTGATAGATATTTATTAAAGCTAATATGTTTATTTGTATAATTGTATTGTAATTTAGATTGTCTACTAAATTTTATTCAAACCCATTTCATTAACTTTAGAAATATTTAACTTAGAAGTCATATACTCCGTATATAAAATTTATTAAAACTGCGTTATAAATGAGGGTCAAATCAGCCTAAAATAAAAAAATATACACTGATTTTGATCAATATTAAAATTGTTAATTAAGAGTGTTTGAGTAGAAATGGGTTGAAAATTTTGTTGAATTGGAGAGAAGAATGAAATACAACAACAAATATTGTGTATATACAAGTCTTTCATAATATTGAATTTTTCTTTTAAAGCAAATGAATGATATTTTACACATTACTATTTTCATTTTCCTCCACTTTTATTTGAATACTAAAAAATGTGTTCATTAACAGAAAACAAAATAATAATACAAATAAGTTTAAAATTAAAATAATAATAAAACATATACGCAGTACAAACCAAATCTTTAAAATCGTATTCCTCAAAAACATATTAGCAAAGATATTCCCTTATTAAAAATGCTATTGACAAGTTCTGTAAATAATTCATAGTTTCGATTGATAAATTATCACTTTAATTTTTTATATTAATATGACATTACGGGTGTTACACTAGTGTAATCTAATTTTGTGTAATAGTACTACGTAAAATATGAATTTATATTTAATATTCAAATCACTGAATTGAAGACACAAGACAATGCTCTAAAGTGAATTGCAGAATTCTTAAGCAACATATAAGATTTTTTTATTAATAAAAGTTGTAACTTAACCATGAAGTAGAATACCTAGATTGATTTTAAGTTTTAATATAGAAGGAAAAAGATATAGATTTTTGGAATTTTGAAGGAGAGGTTTGACAGAGAAGAGAATAAAATTGAAGAGGAGAATGTAAAAGTGTTAGGGTTCTGGGACTGAGAACAGGTCCAGGGACGACTTGGGGTAGCAGGGGTCCCGATTAAGGTGGTAAGCTGCCTGCTAGGGTTACACCTCTTCTTGCCCGTGGGTGGAAGAGCCCAGTAAGAGCACAGGGGAAGGAGGAAGTCTGTGACATCTCTCTAGGATTAATTATTCTAATGATCGATGATTTTATTAATGTTGAATAAAGAGTATAAATAGGCAGTCTACCTTTACATGATAGAGTTCTACTCTAACTAAAACTGTAACTTCTAATATTTCTATTACTAATAGGAAACAATAAATAAATAAATATAAATAAATAAATAAAATATAAAGATAACATCAAACTGGACTCCTTCTAATTAATTAAAACCCTAAAAATGCATCTGTAACATCACTCCCTCCCTCGACATTGAGTTTGTCCCCATGCTCATATCTTGGATAAGCACCGACTAAAGACTCAACGGCTCCCATGTGGCCTTATCTGGTGTGGGCCATTAAACTACTAATGCCACTTATAGTGTTGGCAGACAACTCCAAGGCTGGGAAGCTATCTTCCTCCTCATCTTCTATCTCGATCAAGAAAAGCTTTTTGCATCGGTGAATCATCGTCCATTGTTCATCACAATTATAGCATAGACCTTTTGCTCGCCTTTCTGCCATTTCATCCTTCGTCAGTCGCTTAACAATGGGATTTCCCGCCTTTGTTGTCATGAGCGCTTGTTTAATATGTGGAGGGCTGCGTTGTTTCATATCTATTGCAGTACCCGAGACTTTTACTAGTGCAAGCGTCAGTGTTTGCCTTACTTCCAATATCCGTGCAAGGTTCATTGCGTAACCCAGGTTACCTGGTTTTGCTATCTCCAATCAGCCCGTAAGTGTGGATGGAGACCGGTGACAAACAACGCAATCTGATGGGTGGACTGTATTTTTGACGTTCTTGCAAGGCCTTCTGAAATTGGGCACAATACTCATCAACTAATCCGATCTGCATCAGAAGTTTCAGGTCTCCAATCGGGTTAGAACTCAAAGGGGGCCCAAAGCGCTCTAGACAGAGTTCTTTAAACCTCTCCCAGTTGGCTTCGCCTACTTCCTCTATCATCTGATCGAACCACAGTTGTGCATTGTCTATCAAGTGGAATGAGAGTTGAGACCATATTCATCTTTGCAACAGTAGGAGTTTCTTGGTTTAAGAAGAATTTTTCGCACCTTTTCAACCAACCGGTAGGGTCATAGGTGCCATCAAACTCGGGAAGTTCCATCTTCACATACCGTGGCTTCCAGGATTTCGAGGTGCTGTGTGATATCAAGATGTAATCGGGTGGCTCTTCATGTGTTTCTGTTGATTTGGAATCAAGTTTGTGGCCTGCCAGAGATAGAGCGGCAATCTACCCTTCTATGGCGGTTAGCCATTAGTCATAGCCTCCATAAACTCCTTCATCAGTGGTTAAATCATCTTGCGGTGGCGCCATGGATCTTGACGGCTCTGATACCATATTGTTAGGGTTCTGTGACTGAGAACGGATCCAGGGACGACTTGGGGTAGCAGGGTGCCCGGTTGAGGTGGTAACTTGCCTGCTAGGGTTACACCTCTTCTTGCCGGTGGCTGGAAGAGCGCGGTAAGAGCGCAAGGGAAGGGAAGGGGGGAAGTCTGTGACTTCTCTCTGAGTCTCTGGGATTAATTCTTCTAATGATCGATGGTTTTATTAATGCTGAATAAAGAGTATAAATAGGCAGTTTGCCTTTACATGATAGAGTTCTACTCTATCTAAAACTGTGACTTCTAATACTTCTATTACTAATTACTAATAGGAAAAAATAAATAAAAAAATATAAAGATAACATCAAACTGGACTCCTAATTAATTAAAACCCTAAAAATGCATCCGTAACAAAAAGATCAGCCAAGAAAAGAGAATATGGGAGTAAGAAGAGCAGACTGCTTTTTACTGAAGGGGGTCGTTTGTGGCCGATGGAAGGTGTGCAGATCCCACATTATAATTTGTGATTCAAAAGAGGTTCGAACACGATAAAATAAATATTTAAGGTGCTGGTTTACCTTGTTTTGGAGTTCACTTATCTACTTGGAACCAGAACTTAGGTATACACAATCTTAAAATAGAGAAAGTACAATTCCACTATTGACATGCTAAAAGGTATTGTCTTCTCAGACACGCCAGTTTCTAAGTTCAAATACATCATGTGATATGCAGATGATTCTCCCTGTTCGTACACAGATTAATTCTTAAAGGTTAAAATGGCTAGTTGGCAGCTTCAACCTTTTTTAAGCGATTTGAGTACAAGCTGGAGTATGAAAGTGCCTTCCCCTTAATAGGGTGATCAAAGACTATACCAGTCACCAGAGAGCATTTGCAGCAAAAGGTAAAGGAGATCAGATATTAGAGTTTTCATTCTTCAAAGAAGTATGGTGGTTCCCATTAGCACTGCATGTTGGAGTTCCGGCAGTGGAATTTGATGAGCAGCTGCTCTCGTCTTGAAAATTAGCCGGATCAGCATAAGAAAGGTACCCCGGAAACCTATAAGATTGAAATATTTGGTCAAGATTCAACTAACAACTTTTTACTTTTGCACTTATTTGTAAGTTTTGCTTATAAAATTACACGACCCAATAGCTCCATTTTATGATATACTCCCTCCGTCTCACTAAGATTGTCTCATCTTTCCTTTTCGTTCCGTCCCACTAAGATTGTCCCATACCAAATTTGGTAAAGTTTATGTGGTTTTAAATCATTCTTACTTTATTCTTACTTTATCGATTCATCATCAATATAAACCACATAAACTCACTTTTGTTAATAACCGCAACGCCTCCTCGTCTAACGATGTTAGTGGGATAGAGGTAGTATGACTTTTTGGGACAACAAACCCTTTTGACTTTTTCAGACCGGGGGGAGCACACAACAACGAGGAAAAAACTGTAATACCTGCTTACTTTGATTGGCTCTCCATCTATAGTCATTTTGACATCAAAAATATTTCCTGTGACAATTGTTGGTGAACTCAGTTATGAATCATGAGGAGAAAATGAAAACGAACCCGCAAAGAACGTCATAACAAGGTCCAAATGCATGAATAAACCAAAGGGGTGTTTGGATCTAAATATTGCAGCTGATGTTCCTCCAAAGACCACTTAAACAGAGATGATGAAAGCACCATTATACGGGCAGTATCAAATGAGAATACAGTTATGTATGAGATGACTTTTCAAGTAGAGCTTTCAGTTGTTGATCTTTCTTGGTCGACCTATTACTAAGGTTGGGTTGGTTTCTATATTACGCAATACATTTTTAAAAGTGTAAGAAGCTTTTTATTTAAAACTTGTTTTTTACATGTTTGGTAAAAATCAAGAATAATAATTCAATTTTTTTTAAACACGATTTTATTCAATAAATAAAGTAAAAATTACAGTGCAAGAAGAAAAATAAAAGAAGAAGAAAAAGGTAAAAAAGTACAGAAAAGAGAGGAAAAATACATAAAGAAAAAAATACAAGAATAATAATTCAAATAAAAAGCTATTTTGTCTTTTTAATGAAGACCAAAATTTGGACTTTTTACAAAGAAGCTCATATAAGCTTATAATATTTCTTTTTAAAGCATAATGCTGCACAATTGTACTTCATAACTTTTTGTTTAAAAACACTATTAAGTATTAAGTGTAACACTTAAAAGATGTACTGCAACAATCGTGAGAAAAGTAATACTAGAAATGGTATAAATGGATCCTTTATTGAAAAACTATATTTGTTCAGGATTATTATAAAACCATGCTTATGTAAGTAATTGCATGTCTAAATAAAATGATTATTCAAACTTCTTTGGAAAAACACAAAATTGAACTTCTCTCCAAAGGCATAAAAGAGATTTTAGAATTTAGGTTATAAACCTATTCCATGGTTACCAAAAAAGTTGGAATTGAGCAAAAAGAGCTTATCTAAATAGAAGAATTCTTATGGTAAACAGAAAAGTCAAGCCAAACACAATCTCAGGGAGGGGCTCCTCATTGGCTCATTCTACAAGTCATTTGTCATGTAGCAGATTCCCATTTGAAAGCAAACAGTCCCATACACAACATTCTACCCACATGCAATAAAGATTTCAGCTAATCTAATATTAACATAAGCTAATTCAGTTAATATAATATTACCATAACCTTCTATACAATGAGCCATACTAGTTAATCACAAGGTTTGAAGTGTCAACGTAATACAGTAAAAGATTCATGGAAGTTTGAAATATAGGAGATGAACAAAAATGAACAATCAATATTGTGTTGAAATGGTTGGACCGGTGGTTAAACCGTGGGATTGGCACTACGTACGCAGAGTACTCCCGTGCAGCAGGAACAGTGTAAGTATGGGTAAGTTTTGTGTAACTTCTTGTACAAAAGTGTTTGGTGTAACTCATGTTATGCTTTTGTGTAACTCATGCTATACTTTTATGAAAATACCGTTATAAAAAGTGCAAATACATATGAACAATGTGTACGAGGTATTAATATGAATAGTGTATATTTGGTGTAATTGAGATATATTACATGAAAAAATTACACAAATATAACTACTTTAAACTCCACTAACAAAAATATGACTTTTTGCTCTAACTTAATCCCATGATGCCCATACGTGATCCATGCTATAAGTCACTTTCTTGTAACTCCCATGACTTTTGATCATATTCATGTAAAAATCTCATATTACATTGTATATGATATTATAAAAGTTATGAAAAAAACTTGTAAATGTAATACGGAGTAATATCTATAGATATAGTCAAACGGTTGGTGTAAATGACCTTATACAAAATGTAAACTCTGTGGGTTATACATGCAAGTGACTTTATAAAAAAAAATGTAAATTGCGAGTGTCAAATATGTAAATGATATTAGACAAAATGTAAGCTGCGTGTGTCAAATATGTAAATCTGGTACATTTTTGTGCAAGTGTAATACTGCTTGTTGATATAAAACTTAAATTTTGGGTGTAAATGATTTTATAAAATAATAGAAAAGAATGAAAACAACGTGTGAAAAGTATGACATACTTTTGTGCAAATGTACATTATTCACTAATACAAAAGTTATCGTTGGTGTAAATGATTTGATAAAAATGTAAAATTGCATAAAAAATGATTTTATGTAACTTATGGAACACGATGGATTTTAGTGTTGGATTAAATATTTAAATGCAAATCAAACGAACAAAAAATATAAGGCAGAGCTCGAAGAAAAGTTGCAGATTCGTCAAATACAAATATGACTTTTTGTTTTAGATTAATAAAACTTTAGTTATGAATGGATAAAGAAAAAGACTAGATTTATTCGTAATTTAGGTTGAAGATGAAGAAGAGGAAAATCGTGGGTTTATTTTTAGTTTTTTTATGGAGATGGAGAAGAGAATTGAGTAGAAAATACAGAGAAGAAGAAACCAGAAAATTTGATGAAGGAGACGACCAACAGACCGGCGGAGAAGAAATAGGTTGTGCAGGTGTAACGATCCCAAGGTATAATTTGATGGTTGGACCTTATAAATTTTACCTCCAAAGATAGTCTTGTCTGAAAAGTACTTGGACATTAAATATTGGGTGCATTCAGCTTCATATCTCTTGAACTTCTCATTTTGTGCCTCTTCTAAGAGCCTGAATGAAAATGCCAAGGCAGCTACATACTTTAGAAACTCCCTATAATATTCACCGCGGCAGCATCTTGTAGACAAGAACATTATAAATTTCAAATGCTGGAAGTATATCATATCATAAATGACTTTATTTCCAGGACTCACCCAGGGTGCAAAATGAATATGACTACGGAAATGAAGAGATAAATCTAAATCACCTATCACCTATATCTATATTAGAGTGTCTGTACATCTAAGGGATATACTTCCTCCGTAACAAAAAAATCTTCCCACTTTCCTTTTTCGTCCGTAACAAAAAAATCTTCCCATCATACCCCCAATAATTCTTAAAATAATACACTATTACAACTACTTTTTTGGATTTATCCTACATTTCATCACATTATTCAACTATCTTCCCATCATACCCTCAATAATTCATATCATCTTTCACTATTCTTATTCTACCTACTTTTGAAATGGGAAGGTTTTTAAGTTACAGAGGTAGTAATAAAGTAAAATAGGAGTAATTAGCATATATCAACTGAAAAAGTAAGGGGATAACAAGGACTTCCTAAGCAATCTCATAGTGGTTTTATCTAGTGCAGCATATGGCCTACTTTTACAAGCGACTCTCAAAGTAAGCAACTAAGCACACACCAAACAAACTACAACCCCAAGCCTTTGCAAGAATAATCAATAGTCTAAACCTTGAACAGATATATATATATATATATATATATATATATATATATATATATATAAATTTCCATCTATATTGTCATGGTGTCATGGAGATACTTCAACTGTTGACCATACTACATGTCTACATATCCACTAAGAGATAACAGGCACTAACACACAATTGATTAAGATGTAAACAGAAAGTCCCACCCAGTAATTAAGTACTTATGCAAAAGCCAAAAGGTATGACTTGTTAGTGTTTATAACACCAAATGAATGGCTGCTAGGTGAATAGGAATATCTTAATCATATGCAAAAAAGAGAATAAAGAATGACTTCCGTAAAAGGATACCATTTACAGAAAGGGATGTGAAGATCCATTTACGTGCATATTCCTTTCCACAAATAATTACTTCCTCCGTAACATTTATATCTTCCCACTTTCCTTTTTCGGCCGTAAAATTCATATCTTCCAATTTCTAAATCTTCCCGTCATACCCTCAATAATTTTGAAAATAATACACTATTACAACTACTTTTTCTGGATTTATCCTTCATTCCAGCACACTATTTCATTATCTTCGCATCATATCCTCAATAACTTATATCCCTTTTCACTATTCTTAATCTCACCTACTTTTAAACGGGAAGATATAAATGTTACGGAGGTAGTAAGTTATATGTAGTAGCTATTGATAACAGTGCTTCTCTCCACAATACAATGCAGCATGCGAAAGAAAAAACCCTTTCCGTATATGGAAACCGCCACAATTTTATCCCCTTTGCCTTCCTTCCATTTTTGTTTAGATAAAGGATAAAACGTTTATGGAAACTGACTGACAAATAGAGCAAAAAGAAGGAAAATGGAGTGATACAAAATATTACAGATTCTTTGCCTTTGGAAATCCAAGCAGATTATACAAAAACTGTGTGCAAATTAACACAAAACAAGCTATGAAAAGGTGGAAATCAACCAAATTTAGAGAAATAAGGAATTAAATATCGCAACTGAAACACTGACCAGACCAGAAATATTCAAAATGCATAAAAGATCAGCATATATTTTCTTACTCAATGGGGCTCCTTTTCAACGTTTTCTCTTCAGGCACTTTCTTCTCCTTGACCTCTTCTTTCGCATTGGCACTCGTCACCTCCTACACATACAAAGACCGTATCAGGCTACCACCCCATAACTGTGAGTACCCACTGGGGAGATTCGGGAACCTGTTCTTCTTTGGGTCGCATAGTGGGAGCTTGAGCAACAGACGAAGCGGCAGAGTTTGATAGTGAATTGGAGGACGATTCCATAGAAGGCGACTAGAAAGCAGCTGCGAGAGTGTGCTGGACTGTGACCATTCGAGGGTGGCAGATCAGAGAAGCAGAAATTGAGTTTGCATTCATCTCTCTTTTTGAGAAATTTTCTACTTCTGATAAGTGAATTGGGATTCTCAATAGGAGACGAATTGGACAGCGAACCACTGTCAAAGAAATTATTTCAATTGGACTGAAAAAAAAATGAGGATATTTTTAGTATGACTAAATTTTTTAGGAAAAATTGATAGGAATAATCCCAACTATTGGTGGTCCGCCCATAATAATCTCAACTATCGATTACTTTAGAATAATCCCAACTTTAGGGACCTTCCGCCAATAGTGGTCCATATAAATAAATTCATGTAATTTCTAAAGTGGATGAAGAGTGATATAGCAAGTAATCCCTATAAATAATCTCAACTTTTAATTTTTACACTTAATTTCTATTTAAAATTCACTTTTTATAGGAGGTAATATATGACCATGGACCATTATTGGCGGACGATCCATATAGTTGGGATTATACAAAAATAATCAATAGTTGGGATTATTATCAGCGGACCGGCAATAGTTGGGATTATTATTTTCAATTTTTCCAATTTTTTATGAAATAATTACATAAATATGATCAAAATAAAGATGATTTATAAAAATATGACTCATTACTAGAGTAGTAATGAAATCATAGTAATTCATGTTCAAGTTTTGAACTTAAGTTACTACAATACTACGTTGTCGTAATGAATAGTCATATTTATGTAAATAAGTTTTATTTTAGTAATATTCTTGTAAAAAACTCTTTATGAGACTTAAATGATCCTATTAAAAGTATGCAATTAGTAGTGATTGGGCCATATTATAGATAAAAATTTATGATAATTCTATTTGTGCATTTATATTTTAATTCTATTTAAGGAATTTTCTCTTTTTTCAAACTACTATCTAGAAGCAAAGAAGAGGGTTTGAATGAAACTAAGGATATGGTTGAAAGATTAAATTCAATTTGGAGGCTATTATATTTATATTCATATTCATATTCATATTCATATTCATATTCATATTCATATTCATATTCATACTAGATTTTCACACGTGTGATGCACGGAACATAAATTAAATAATAATAACAATATGTTATGATTTGTTAATATTGTTAGTTGATGTATTATTAAAAGTTATATAGATAGAGTAATATATATTGGTAAAATGTATCAAAAAGAGATGTAATATATAATAAATATTATAATTAAAGAAAAGAAAGCTAGAACTAGTGCGAAGTATGAATTGAAATAAGAAGAAATAAGTATTATAATGAGGTTGCACTAGTCTACATATTTTGAAACATTTATTTGTAAATATTGGTGTGACTGACTTCGTCATTTTTAACACAAATCAATATTTGAAAACCCACACAATTTCCAACTCTCGAGTTTAAAATTTGAAGGTGACCCACCTTTATTGATACTTTTATCTATCCTTTCTCTTATTGACGTGAACGAAAACATGTTAGGTTATGAGTGAATACATTCTTGAAAATGTTTGCAGGTTGCATTTTTGCCAATAATCAACCGTTGCAATATCAATTGAGACTCCTTTATTATCTAATCGTTGCTTGTTTTTTGTGTGAGATCCTAATAAATCTAATTAAAATCAATTATAAATTTATTTTTAAAAGTTTTGTAAGAAATTATAAATTATCCTAAGAAATTCTCTATAATAGACATTATAAATTGTGTAACGATATACATTATAAATTAGCAAAATTTGAAAATATTAGGGGCCGTTTGGCGACACTGTTTTTCGGCTTATCAGGTTTATCAGACAACTTTTTCACCAAACACGTAACTTTTGTTTTCGCGCGCTGAATTGTGTAATAAGCAGAACAAGTAAGATTAGAATTACTTTTCTGGCTGTATTGGTTGAAGTTACGGTAGTTGTCCATTTTAGCTATTTTTAGAAATAATTTTTTCTTTATTTTATTAATAAAATATATTTTAAAAAATACTTTTTTCTTAAATTAGCAGAATTAGCCAATGCAGCCATAACTTCATAAATTTTAGCAGAATCAGCCAAATCAGCTGATTTTCGCGCTACCAAACGGACTCTTAATCTCAATTTATTGTCGTTCCACTCACAATAATCTCAATTATTAATTATTTAAGTAAAATCCTTACTTATAAAGCGTTTACCAATAATGGTTCATGACCGGATATAACCTAAGCGTATTCTATAAATAATCTAAACTATTTCCGTTCTTATTTTAATAATCTCAACAATAAACTCGATTTTGTTTACAAAAAGTAAAAAAAATTATTTAAATTTCAAATTCCAAATTTTATAAACAAGAAAGTTTACCTAAATCAAAAAAACTTATTGCGTTTCAAAAATAAAAAATATTACTCCCTTCGTCCCAATTTGTTTTGCAAAGTCAACATTTTTTGATCAACCAATAATAAAAGTCAACCCTCCTTATGCATAATTAATTCAATTTTTAATAAATAAAATTTACATATTCATAAACTACATCAAAATCTCTTCAAAGTTGTAAACTCCAAACTAGAATATAATTAAAAATTGGCATCCTAATTAAGTGAACAAAACGTAACTATTTGACCAAGAAAAGTCAAATTTGCAAATCAATTCGGGACGAAGGTAGTAATTTTTTGTTCCGAAAATTATAAAAGTATAATATTTGGTAAATAATTTTTTTTGGACTATTTTATAAATTCACGATAAATTTTTTAATATTTAGAAAAAAGTATTACTCCCTTCATCCCATTTTACCTGTCTTACTTTTCTTTTTACATTGTCAAATTCCAGCTTACAATACCCGTTTCCCAAGATTAGCACTAGCAAAACTAAGACGCGATAACACCTCTCGCCGACAAAAAAAACTTTGCCGCAACCCAAACTTACCCTAGATGACACTAGGCAGTCATGGACCCGAGCCGGGCCGGGCCCGGCATTGGGAAGGAAGGCCCGAGACCGGCCCGAGTAGCCACCGGGTCCGGGCCGGGCCGGGCCTCCGGTTTGGTTAATTTTTTTTTGCTTTCCTAACCACCCCCTCACCCCCCCCCCCCTCCCCAAAACCCTCCTAACCATCAAGCCCAACCCGGGTGTATCCCAAAAAATGAAAAAAAAAATCAATTAGGACCGGACCCAGGCCCGACCCGGCCGGTTCGCCAAATACAAGGCCGGAGCCCGGACCCACCCCCCCACTGGGCCTAGGCCCGACCCGGACCCGAGAACCGGGCTAGTTCCGGTCCCACACAGTAGCAGGCCGGGCCGGTCCCGAGCCGGGCGGCCCGAACCGGGTCCATGACTAACACTAGGCCTTGCCACCGGTTGAATCTATTCCATATTGATTGCAAAGTGAAGAAATACTTCTGAGTGCTCCAAAATGCTCCTAGAAACACTTTTTCAAAAGTTGGGGTTATGAGACCCGTATTTGAAAACTGATTCTGATTCTACTTCTGCTTTTTAAAAAGGGAACAATATCAATTCCAAAGACGCCTAATGAGTTAACCAAAGTTTGTTTACATATAGTTAATCGTTTGAGATGCTCGATTGCAACTTGTGGTGGATGTCTGTCAAAGGTTAGGGTTATGTTCTGCTGATACAGAGACGTGAGGTGAGGGATAAATTGACAAATATTTTGACGTAGTTTGAATAGTCCATCTGTCCATGACTCCATGGTTGAAATGATAGATGTTAACTAGAACATTTTTAGAAAGAAGAGAGGCAATCTTTGATCAAGATGAGTAAGGGATTTCCATGAGCAGCGGCAGCTTCCCATCTCTCAAACAAGATTCCGTCCATGCGGGCTTGGACTCCGCCTGAAGATGCCGCCGCCATCTCGCTAAGCAATGCTTTTATGCTCCTGTCGGCTCCAGCTATACTGTCTCCTACCCCACTCAATATTTCTGGCAATGATGGAGAAGGCCTTGACATCTCAACAACATCAACCTTCACTCCCAAAAACAAAAACAAAAACAAAAACATATTTTAGCTAAGCAAATATGATCAGAGAGATGTTTAAGCCAAAAACAAGTAGATTACCAAACATGCTCTTAATATAAAAAATAAATCCATGGCACGGCCTCATGATGACAAAGTAATTCTTTTGCAATTGGCATGCTCGACACTGTTACAAAGTTCCTAAAGTGTCACTAGTTATATACAGCTCAAAATAAAACCCTTCGTAACTATGTACTGCAAGGTGAATGATAGGATCTCAAATTTTGTAACAGTAATTTGAACAGTAATATTGCGGTAACTTGCAGAAACGAGGAAGACGATACAAAATGAGGCACTTCGAGAGGCACTCGACTCTCCAGAACCCAATTTCCCAATTCTAAAATCTGCCTAACGACCTTCTTCTCCCCTTCTCAATCTTATAGTTATTATATCCTAACGGGCCAGCCCACATTTTAAGACATGGCCCAGGATTCTTATTTAAACAATACCATACTTATTTAATATCAAACTATAACTACTATTATTATTCTCTATAGGCCCTATCATATCTCCCCCCCTTGAAAAACCACCTTGTCCTCAAGGTGGGTGATAGGACAAAGCCTTGATCTTCAACTTCATCTTCATCCGAGCACCTCTTCCTTCCCAGTAGCTAACTGATGGCGGAACCATGAGCTTGCTTGCCTGGAAAACACACTGATTTTCGGGATCTTTGTAATTGTTGTGTTCCTCATGATCAGATGGTTCTGTTTGATTTTTCTTTCAATATCCTTCTCTGGATGCGCTGGCTGCGAATTGATCAAACTGCCAATGCTGCTAGTCATTAAAATAATGTGTCCGCCTCTGGTTAAGCACCAAGAAAGTTCTTCCTCACTTTCATATGAGATTCCACCTTCTGGTTTCAGAGTGCTTTGATGAAGACCCACAGATGCCTTAGTAGAAAAGACCAGAGATCTTTAGCTAGAGGGGCTGTACATTAGAAACAAAACCGAGGGCGAACCAATATCAAACAGAGCAACCTGGCAGCTTTCAAGCCCCATAACCCATTTGGAATGGACTTATTTAGTTCTATTAAAAGAATAAAAGAATAAAAACCTCACTAAATAGGGGAGTGCATCAGTCCTATTTCATGAAGAAAACAATGTTACTCCTATTTGAGAAAATCTATCACGTTCTGCTCCTAATTAGGTCATTTTCACT